ATAATAGTATCCTGTAATTATACTGCATTGACTACTGAAAAAGATCTCTAAACATAACTTTCAGACTCAGATTAACATAACTTTCAGACTCGGCTTATACCTGCTAGTAGATATTTCTTCATACAACAAAAGTGAAGCTTATACTGTGCTTTTCTTCCCTGTCTTTTGGGGTTTTCTCCAGAGAACACCCATTGTATCTTTCTACTGCCTATTGTACACACCAGCTGCGTATCAGCTGCCAGATGTTGCCCCAGAAATGTCAGCTGCTGCTTGAGGCAGGGAGTGAATGCAATTAGAGATGCCCTGGTGACAGCTTGACACTTATGGTGGCAATGTTTAAATTTTTAATCGGGCATGTAACACAAAACCCACACAATTTGGATTGTTCCTGAAAACTGCACTAGTACACTACACTAACATCTTTTGTCTGGGAGATGCAAAGATCAATGTACAGGCAGAAGCCCACATGGATTGACTGCTCTTTGTAAAATACCTGGAACTAGTTCCTGAAACATATTCCACATCCAGTAGCTGTGAGGAGACCTGCTTTTTAAGGCAGTAAGGAATGCTATTGCTTTAAAGCAGTTCACTGCTTTTATACTGAAAGAGTAGTATATGTAAATATGCAAAAGAGATAAAATAAGGGCCTGAATACTATTTTCACTACTTATGTGATTAGTTCCCCTTTACTGCATTTCTATCTATCAATTTCTACTGACAAGTCAAATGCCTTTTCAAGTAAACTGTATCAAATCAACTTACAAATTATAAATTAAAAACTTTGGACACAATCATTAAGTAAAATGTATCAAGTACGTTTAACAGTAGAACTACTCTGTATGAATTAGTTTAGTGCAGTCATGAGAAGCAAAAAAAAAAAAGAAAAAAACCCATGCCAAGTTCAATCTAAATGTAGTCTGTTCCTAGGGCTACATGACTAGATCCTACCCAACATCAGGTTCACTTTGGATAAACAGTATTTACTTAACTCTAAGATGACCACCTTCTTCTCTTTTAGAAAGTATAAATCCAAGGGTGATCTGTGTTTGTTCATGCAGCATAGATTTCTTTGAACTACCTCACCTCTATCCTGCATTTGCATTGCATTACAGTCCAGCTTAAACAGGTTGCAAGTGAACAAGTTAGCTACGTTAGCTGCTCCATGCTGGCTACCTCTGTGCATGCTCTGTTAGTGTAGTATAATTTAAAGTACCTTACTGAAAGATGTCTGTAATACTGTATCCCTGTACCAGCACAGTATAGTTACTGTTTATAGCAACTTAGTTCTACCTGGCTGTTTAGGGCGGGGATTAAAATACATTAATTGAGGCTGCAGGAATAATTTGGGATAAGGGAACTGAGCTGGATTTTGGCCAAGAGGTTGAATTTATAAATCTTTAGTCTTGTGAAAAATACCATGAGCTCAATGTAGTTCTGACTCTTCATTCTCTCTTAAAAAGATGGGTTTTCCAGAAAAACGCTGGGTTTTTACTGTCCCAGAGGGATGAACACTATGTTTGGAATAACAGACACTATCCGCGTTTGCTTTTTACGTGAAAGTGATAGCAAGTTATTTTTTTCTGAGCATCAGTGGGTCTCAGGTTTATCTTGTATTTGGATAAATATGAAACATACCCTCACAGTGTGGACAGTAGCACTCTATCTCCTGTTAACCATTTGCCAGTCAGCTCTGGAAGGTATGAGTCTCGTGTAATATTTACAGAAAGTATCAGTGCCTACAAGCCAGCAATGCTATTGGTACCTCATCTCTGATAAGAACTTGCTGCATTTGAAGACTGGCCTCTCCATTTTACCCCATACGTAAGTCTGTTTCAAAAAGTATTAAAAAATGAAAACAGTAGGGTCATCAAGAATCCCAGAGCCAGGATCTCTTAGGTATTTTTCTCACTTGTGAGACATTGTAAAAAAGGATAAATCAATATAGGAAACTTTATATCTGGCTGAAAAGAATACAGTCTCTTTTCCTGGAGTGACCTGTATTTTCAATTAACTTACCCAGAGCTTCTATGCATATGATCACGTGTTAGATGTGATCCATGTTGGACCGGGACAACACAGTCATCCCATCCAGACCCAATATACACTGAAAAGCAGGGAGAAGGCTCAGAAAGTGATTTATGCTGTTCTGCTCGATTAGCATTCTCTCTTAGAGCTCTGTTTTCCATACCTTCACTAATTCAGTGATCAGTTCCTTGGTCTGGGATCCCCTCATTGTTTACTACTGGATATACAGAGCACCAAACCTGGCAGAAATTCCATGGCAGAGTGGTGTGGTGTAGCTGAAGAAGGTGAGTGTGAATTCATTGGGGAATATCTGCAAAATGTTATCACCTTTTTCTAGAATCAGAAACACATACCTGTACCTTCTAAGTGACATGATCTTGACATTGTGCCTGAAGTTATCTGAGCATTTATGAATTCATTTCAGATTCACTTTCTCATTTCATGCTGTTAAGTGAACGCTTTGTCCCCTGCACTCATCACTTCCCGGGTATTTTGCTGTGCTACACTTGCCAGCGAGCCACCGCAGCGCATTCTTCTCTCGCTGCAGTGTTACTGAGTAATATGGTTTTGAGACTGCAGCATGAACAGCTCTGTAAGTTTTCCTCTCTGCCACTGATTTCACATTAAAAAGACAGGACTGACACAATCAAATGTCAATATATAAACAGCCAGCAGTCCAATGAGAATGAACCAACCACCCCACAAAATTCATAGAAGGTAAAAAGCCTCTTTCAGTCCAGCAGTTATGGCCTGTTGCCTCTCTACAAGTTCTCTGGCCAAAATCACAGACAACTCTCTCCTTTTATCTGGGAGCAAACTACTCCCAGTGGAAGCAATATATTATATGTGAACAACTAGAAAACAGACCTGCTGTTAAAAAATCTTCCAGAATTGAACCTCAGAATGATGCGTAGTCTCAGCAAAAGGAAAAGTAAAAATAAAGAGAAATAATATAGGCTTTAACCGATTACGCTGCTTAGTTTAAACCTAAGTCTTATACAGTACAGTTGTTACTCTGCAGGGAGGGGGAGGGAGTGTACCAAGAATGTACTTATTTCCTTCAGGATTATAATTCAATTTGGAAACTAACATGATCATAAAATATACATGCTAGGGTTTAATTTTAGGTCAGAGTCATATGTTAAAAAAGATTGCTAACCTAGATTTTAAAAACATTAGCCTGAGTCATGTAACACAACCTCATTTTGATCATTCTGAGTTCAGAAAATGTACAATTACTGATGCTGGCAAGAAGTCACACCAAGGCCAAATGAGATTAATAAGACATAAAACTGCATATCAGTAGCATAATAGAAACTGAAATGAATAATCAAATGGCCAGAACATTCATGCAGCCTTGGCACCAAAGTCCAAATAAATGGGCTTGAAAGCCATAAGAAAACTCTATAGTAAGCACTTAAATCATCAATTTTAAAAAGTTTTCTGTGCAGAATGTTGCAGTAAGTTTTGTAATACCTAAAATATAAAGTGATATCATAGCTTTCACTGCTGACCTTAGCACAGTAAATCTGCAAAAATCATGAAGTAAGAAAAGATTGGTTCGAAACCATTGGGCAGATGTATCAATAGGGAGGATTCATTCCGTGTTCATCTTCTACACTGCCCAAACTTCAGAGACTTCTTCAGCATCTCTCCTGGTGGAAGCAGCGCAGAATTCTAGGATGTGAAGCGGAAGAGCTGCAGCAACACCCTTGTGTTCTTGGATGTTGGGTTACAACTCCTACAGGCAGTGGTATGTTTACAGGGAACACGTAATAAATGAACAATGGCTGCCACTGAAAACATCTATCAACTGCTGCAGCACTAAAGATGCTAACTTCCAGGTTATTTGAAGGAATAGTTTATGGTAACTATCCAGCAGTACCCCTGGTTCATTCAAAAACATTTAAAGAAAGCAAACATTTTCCACATTCTCGGGAGAAATATCTTCCATTTTTTCCTCCCTAGTCTTTTACAAAGAAGTGCACCTTTCAAGTACACAGGCAGAATATCTACACATGTACCAGGAATTCAGTGAAAGAAAAGGAGATAATGTACAGCACCTGCATAACTGACCAAAGCCTGTAACCTGAAAATTCCTCTACCAGTTCCATCAGTGGCAGCATGACAATGTATATTAGCATGAGTGTGAGTTAAACACGCACACGTAAAGCTAAATATTCAGCAATATCTGTTCTGCACAGAACTGAGACTTAAGCCCTGTTTAAGCACAGTTAACGAAAGTTTAAGAAAGAACATAGCCTAAGCAAAAGAGAGATGGTCTCTAAGCCTTGCTTCTGCAACCTATCACATCAATACATTCTTAGACTCTTTACATTCATTTTTACACTCTTACCCAGAAAAGATCTACTGTTTGAGGACATTGTGTTGGAAATAACATTGCTATAAATGATTCATATGTACTGTCCAATTATTTCAATGTTTAGGATTAAGACAGAAGGAGAGCCTTTAGGCTGCTTTCAAACTACCAAAATACCGCTCAGGTCCCTATGCCGGAGCTGACACAAAAAGGAAGGCAGAGGTCTAGTTAGGTCTCTGGAAAGAGTACCAAGAGCCTCAGCAAAGAGTGGAGCAGGTAGCTAAAAGGAAATGCAGGCACAGAAACGTGGATTACACTCAGCAGAATTTAGAAGTTAGAATTTAGGCCATCCAAACCCAGCACTTGTTTTCTCTCTTGCATAGCACAGTGGATGAAATTCTGTGGCCTATTTGTGCATAAGGTTGAAAAAGATGACTGTAATGGCCTGTTTTGGCCTTCAATCCATGTGTCTGATTTTCCTTTAGGCTATGCTTTCCCGCTGCTTTGGCAATAAATAGCCTATATTTAGGCATGCTTAAAAACGTTTTTCCACTGCTAAAACAGAGTAAAGGGGTTTCATAGTAAACAAAACTCATACCCTCAGATTCTATGCAGCTTTAAACGTTGAAAGTTTTTTTCAAGGAAGGTCTCTTACCTCTTTTTCCATTTGAATTCCTTCTGCTCTTATGTTTCTCTCAAATACTTCCCTCTTTTCTGTCTGTGGATTGGATTTTCTATACACCAGGATGTAGTCAATCCGACATTTCCCATCTCTAAAATATAGTCCATTGGTTTTGTTCTTATCAGGTACTTCCTGTAAAGAGAAAGTCAAATATTTCAGTAATGTTAATTTGCCTTGGTAATTGCTGCATTACTGTCTGCATCATCAGTTTTCAGTAGCACTCAACAGGAAAGATAAGGAATCGGAACATGATGTTCAAGTTTTTAGGTGCTTTACATACAGCGCCTCTGAGGTCGTCTGAAAGGAGCACAGACTTCCCCACTTCAAAACCAGGAGGTCTCCTTAGGCAGAGGTTTGCTCATATAGGCATGGGATAGGAGAGAACAGAGAACACGAGCCAACCTTCCTCCCCCACCACCCTCCATAAAATCAGGAATAACTTCTTACATAGAAAATAAAGCAGAGAATAGTGTTACTGAAGTGTAAATTTAAAATTAAGAACTTAGTATAGTAGAATGTCTTTGTACATGTGAGAAGAATAAACAATGACGTGAGCATTTACTGTAGCGAGAAACACTAAAACCTGGTGCAGAGATTCTCATTGCTTTTTTGATGACTCTAGTACATCTGCCTCACAGGACACAGACAACAATATGGAAGTCCTGTACCTACCACACTATCCCTCATCAGACTAACTACAGAATAGTCTTTGCTTAAGGAACAGCTGAAGAAACCCACTGGATTCATTTGAAAATAATTCCTGGTATTTGTTCTAGCAGTATGTAAATGCAAAAAATACTGTTTCTTAGCTATTTCCTGCAAAGAACATGCCTGTTTGCTCCAACAGAAAGAAACAACTTGATTTCACTGTTAATAAGAGGTCAAGCGGGTCCCTCTCCTGAGATCTAAAAGACCAAACTGCTGCTCTTTCCCCAGAAATTCATGAGATGAAACTCTCTACAGATCCCCCTCGCAATTTAACACTACTTCCACATAATACAAGTCCTGCCCAGGGGTTAAGCTTTCACTTTCGGACAAGCTGAAATTGTGTGGCAGTTTGCAGGTTGGAGCGTTTAATACAAAAAATGTACAGTGTGAATGATACATGGGAACAAACAGCACTGCCTCAGAGCAGTATAATGGGCAGGGACCTTCAGGGACCTCAAGATCAGTCCAGCTCCAAGCTGAAGGGAGGGTTAGGCTAATTTCTGTCTGTTTTTCCAGAATTTGCTCAACCATTCCTGCCAGAAATAGCTATACCCTGTAATATATGATCAAATCTCTGAAAAAATGAATATTTTGCCTTTTACATCTGGGAAAAGTAGGGAATTTTCAAAATATTTTCTCCATAGGAGAACTGCTTCTGAATTTAAATTGCAAGAAGTAAATATATTAATAGGACAAATGATTCTTACAGACACCCCCCCCATATTCCCATTCAAAGAATTTAACGTAAGCTATCTTCCTGATTCTCAGCAGGCATTTTGATTAAATGGAAAAACCAATGAAAGCATCCCAAATGTCCCATCCCCTTGGTACATCCAGTTTACTGAAGGCAGAAAGGGGAATTTTTCTAAGGTTCTTTTATTACAGTGCCTGACTCCTGACACAGCTTAATGCAGACTTGATATAGTGGAACAGTTCCTTGAGCTGAAAAAGAAGGCAAGAAAAAAGATTTAAGTCCTAAGGAAATAACAGTAACAAACCATTTGTATCTATACTGCATATCATGCTGACAAAAAATATTATCAAGATATCAAAAGTATTTTTCACAGAGCATTAAATATGAAAACAGCTCAGTAAGCTGTTTATTTTTTTTTTACATAAAAAAAATCTATGTTGAGAAGACATAAAAAACCCCAAAAGGGTATTTAAGGTTATTTAAATAAAGGAAGGGTGCAGTAGGAGATTTTGAGGCAGTGTCTCAGCTTGGTGGTCCTGCTCTGATTTCTAAACCTCCTGATGAGCCATCCTTCCTGTCCTGGAGGTCCTAGAGACACTACATGTATTTTAGCAAGTAAAGCCGTGTAATAGGAAAGCATCTGTAGAGCAAAACAATCTGTGCTGAGGATCTGCTGTCCACACTACGTAGGCTTGAGGGCTTGCTTTGGGCCCACTCTATCTAGTCCAGGAGACTCACTGGAGTACATCTCCCAATTTATTTGCATCCAGACGGAATCCAAGGTTTAAAATCCAACACTGCTCAGGAATGCAAACAAAGCATAGATAGGGGCAATTGAGACATTCACTTCAAATGCACACTCCTGATCTGAATTAAAATGTTAGCACAGACCCACCCAGAGAGCACCACGAGTACCTCCACGTGCAGTAGTGACTCCACTGGAAAAATAGATATGCCCTTTATGCTTCCTATGTTTCATCTTTCTCTGAAAAAAATTGCTTTGCCCTACACTGACTCATCAGTGCATGGTGGAACCTTATATTAAAGAGCGTCTATGAGATTTAGCTGAGTTATTTGACTTGTAGGACTTCTTCCCCTATAAATAGGACTTCCCGAGACAACTACTTTCTCTTGGACTTGTGAAACACTTCCAGCTACAGTATTGTCATTTTTCACTCAGAAAGGCAGCTTGGACATGCTTATCTGTACTTGGAGGTCCTTTTCATTTTAGGAACAGAGTACAACAAATCCAGACTGATAAACCCTACTAGACTGGTATGGCCTCTGAGAAGGAACCCCTTCTATTCCCCGCTGTTATAGCTTGTAAGGCAGCTTTATAGGCTGAGCCTGGACATACAAGAACTCTGAGGATCTAACATGATGTGGAGACAGTCAGGGCTGTCCCAGCAGCATCAGGAAATGTCAGCTGCAGGGCTTTTGCATCGTCCACAGTATTCCAGGCTTACACTATCCTAGACAGAGACTTCCTCCTACCTTGAGCTTCACTGACCCTTCTCCAGACATTGCATCTCCTTTCCCTGCATTACAACTTCAAAATTCAGTTTTCCTAAACTGATGAAAAAAGTATTTCAAGAACCAGGTCTGACTGCAGATTTTGGTGGGAAAGTGGTCTAGTCATGTATGTCAAATCTCCATTCCTTCATCTGAAAAAGGATGCCGGAAGAAAGCGGAAGAACAGGGAAGACTTCACTCTAGGAAGAAGTTTAGTTAGCATTTCTGGCTATCTTTGCAGCTTTATTTGTAATGCATGTATCTGAAGTTGTGTAATAGGGAATTCTTTTCCAAGGAATGCAGTAGTTTTCGTATTCTCAGACCCACAGTTGGGATCCATCAACATTCACAGACACGCGACTCACACACACATACATGCTAGGAGAGCTTTAGGCCAAAGGCCTTACCCAAATGTTTCGCTATCCAAAATGAGAGCGATTCATAACCCTAACAGCCATAGAGACTTTAAACGGAACATTTAAACAAAAGTGCAGTTAGGGAAATCAAGGAAATTTGAAGCTTTATCTGCAGATCTTTAAAAAAAATAAATCAGAAGGGACTCTAATGTTCACTAATTTAATGACAGATTAGAATCTTTCTTCATTCCTAATTATTTCGGTACCTGGTTGTTATCAGTACGAGTGCTCAGTGAAGATAGGATCTTCGTACTCTAAAGAGATTGTCTTTCCCTGTGGTTTGTGGTTACCTGAAGTTAGTCCCCCGCACGCAACTTCACAGCTGGTGGAGGGCATTAATACCTGCACCACTAACAGTGATAACATATGAACTTATGCAGAAAAAGAAGAACCCAGAACCACCCAGTTTTTAAGGCACAGTTCTAATCAAAGTAGTCTATTTTCTCTGTGCGTCCTTTTTTTCTTAATATCCTTTTGTCCATTTAGATTATAATTCTGTGGAAGCTGCAACTTTATTTTTCCATGTATCTTCACTGGTTGCTATATTCTTCTTGACACCATAATATATTTAATTACATGGAACTTTTCTAATAATGAAATTACCTAGGCTGCAAAATCAAGTGTTCAAAAGTTAGGAAGTAACGGATTTGTAGGTTTCTCAGAAAGCTTAGATAATCTCTTTCCATATCCACCTTGACCACTGAAGACGACAAGGATTTGGTCAAAAAAAATAATTATGTAGTTAGCTTGTATTCTGGTAAATACCCACAAGAAAACTGAGCTAAAATTGCACAAGCTATCATAACTGCCATAAAGAACATCAGAATTCTTATTTTGCAACACGAATACTTTTTTTCTGCCATAATCTTCAGTGCAAGTTCCAATTTATAAAAAAGATTGTTACTATTCGGCACAATATTAATAACACTGCCCCCAAATATCAACAGAGTTTGATGCTTAAAGTGAAGACTGTAGGAGTGACTCTTATAATTTTAATTTCAAAACTACCTACATTAGCTGGAATGTCAAGAACAGGCCATGTAAGCTCACTGAAGTAGAAATAAAATTTTGTCCCAGCTCCATCATTCTCCCTTGTTTGGATAAAGAAGACTGATTTATTATTCCATAGAAAGAAAGGCATAATGGATGCATACCTAGAATACAGCTCCTAAATAGTTTTTACTTTAATTTTTACCTTCTTTCTGCTGCTACTCCTCTTCTCAGAAACTGAAATTTCAGTGGTAATAGTACAATATTTTAGTGATAATATGTCCCTGGATTTAAATTGTAGAGTATATGTCTGATCATTATATTGGCATATGTAAAAAGAATTTGATCAATGCACACAAAGGGAAATGTGATTTTCAATTCACTCAGACTATAGCTGTGTTTGAATAAAACAGATAAACCCCCCATCTTTAGCCAAACACAAGCTGAATCTCAGTCTGGCTTTGCATCTGTTCAGGAACTGTTGATAAAACTCCATCCGTAAAGTCTTCATTGGATTTTCTGGTTGGGCACAAACAACTAACGGTTGAAGCAAACAATATTTCAACTTGTCAGCTAAACAAAAGTCCTAAGAAACCTTTGGTATGTCCTTGTAAATTTTTTTGATTGTAAATTCATTTTAACAAATTAAGCCAGAATCATATTAAATTATTTTGCTGCAACGTTAGCTTCAAAACTATACCAAACAAACATCAATACATTCAGAGAGACTTTCACTGCTGCCAGACCCCCTGTCCTGATGACATCAAGGGGCATCTACAGGCTCTTTTGGCTACCAAACTAAACTGAAAGACTGAAAGGAATCTTGAAGCTTCAGAGTTCACACCACCACTATATACTTGTGCTCCCGTATTTATTCATACAAACCGCATGATATCTAAATAGTGTATCTTTTCCTTCTGGAATTAAGCTGGGGCCAAAGACTTTGAAACTTTTTTTTGTAGGCTACAGCATCCCTCAGCTCCCATTAGGACTTTCAATTTTCTGTTTTTTTCCCCTCTTATACATATACATGACCTACATTGCTATTTTCCTCAGTTATGGCTATGTGAAAAAAAAGATAATCTGTTCAGCCAGGAAAATATTCCTCAGACTTCCCTTTAAAAAGCAACAAAGAATACGTCAAATGGGAAAAAAAGGTTTTCCAGTATTGTTAAATTAAGAGCAGCATATATTGTTCTATATCATTCTCTGTCCTTCTGACCATTTTCTGTTTGTTCTTCGTCTTTAACTTGCAAACACCATGTGCCTTTCACCTGTGCCCTTCTGTTAAAGCCCATATGGTACATGATCCCAAAACGTAACACGGGAATATCATGTCAGATTAACCTATTACAGTGCAAGTAGGCAAAGAGGGCCCTTGGTAAGTTGTATGGGAACCTGGGGAAGACCAACGAGTAAAGGGGAAGATGAAATTGTGAGCAAGGTCAAACATATCTCTGGGTGCCCTGAATTTTTTTACTTTAATTATCTGTCTAAACATTCCAGAAGTGCTGCTCTCTATGGGCTGAATTTCTAGTACAGGGAAAATCTCTGACTTTCTCCTCAGCAGTGTTTCACCGAAAAACTTGCACCACGAAACCCTCTAGCTCCTGAAAAAGACATAATCTGTAGTTATACCTTCTAAACTTTATCTAAACTAGTAAACAAAACAGTGTCAGGGCAGGGGCTTCAGCAACATCCTACGGTTTTCCGTGCTTTTTAATTGTTAGTATGGTCCCTGCCAGTTCTGATCTGTGCCAGTCAGCCCTCTGCCAAAAAATCCTCAGGCACAGCGTGCAAGGAACACCAGACCGTTCCAGTAAGTAGTCTGGATGCAGCTGCATTCCTGGGGTGGGGGAAAGGAGACAAGTCCCTGGTCTCTTCTTTTCACTCCCTGAAGAGATAGCCCTCACGTCCACGGGTTGCCTGCTTTAAGACATAATTTAAAAGGGACTATGTGCTGAATGATTCCTCCCTGGTATGTTCTCTGAACCACCATTATGCACCATCAGGTCACTTACTCTTCACTGGAAGGGAATGTGTCACATACCTGACGCCCAATGCTTCTTATGAGACATTTATGATAGATTCCCCTCCTCCCTCCTTCCCCCCAAAGGATTAATATAGGGAAAACTTTTCCATTATTTTCAGAAGCAGTGAAGCATTAGACTTGGATGGTTCAGAAAACAAGCAGACAACAAAGGCCTGTACAGACTTTTCACTGGGGGTGCGTGAAATCAATAAAACTCCTTTTAACTTGAGATATTTTATATTTCAGCATTATAATCTTAGAATGGAAAACAGTCCCCATGGGAAAGCTCAGATACAAGTTGAATTGCAGAGAATGAGATTTTAAATCAAATTACATTTATTCCCTTTTTATAATGGGCATGAATAATTATTATATTAATAATACTGTGTGTTCTTACCTCTCCCACAACTTCCAACCTGCTGGCATCATCAGAAGTACTGGTCAAGTTACCATGGTGAAGCAGGGAGTCATCATCTTTGGAAGGGCTGTTCACACCTTCTAACTCATCAAAAAAAATGTTGACATCCTTAGCTACTAAAAACAAAAAATAAAAATATACATTCAAATCACCATTGAACCAAATGAAGGCACTGAGTGTAACACATTACCAACAATCCCATTTTTCAGTTCTGCTATGAGTATATACTATGTTAAGTTCAAAATCTGATGCGCATTAGTGGAGTGCTTTCTTCACCAGTGAGCCACATAAAGATTTAGGATGCCACAATACCTTTCTGATGACAAATAGGCAATTTTCTGTCATGATACAACATACATTAGCTATCGCCTCAGCTTCTCTTAGGGTAAGTGGCTTAAACGATTACCTTCTGGATTAGTACGGTCTCTGAAAATTCCTTATTATAAAGAAGCAGATTTTTTAACCTCCTACATAAAGTATCGAGTTAGAAGTTGTACAGACCTGTGGGGCAGCTAGAGGCAGAAGACATCAAATAAATACTGTTACTTAAAAGCAGAAGCAGAAGTTTGTCTTTGCACAATTTGGCATGTTTTGACACGTATAAATCTGTCACGTTCAGATCTACGAACCGCACAGCCCTCAGACATGCACGAAGCAATAGCTTAAGTCTACAGGATGCTGTAGTAAACCCAACCCTGATAAAAAGCACAGAGATGTAAGGGGTCTGCAGAGCAAAGAGGCGATGAGAAGCTGTGGGCAGAGCTGCTGCCCAAGCCTACGGTCCCACGTAACGGCCATCGATCCGCCGACCGAGCGGCTGTGGGATGGGAGACGCGGGGCGGGCAGCTGCGGTCAGAGAGGTCCGCCTTGGCACCCCACGGGCTGCACATCTGGTGTGAAGGGGTGATGGAGAGACGTGTGCGAGGAGAAGAAAAATGCCTCGGCTGAGGATCAAGCTTCAACTGTGGATAGATGTCATCTCTCCAACCTCATGTTTCATAGGCAAAATCCAGAATTACGGCAGTTGAGTCGTAACTGTTAGAAGGGACGCCCAAAGTTCAGCTACTGAGCCTCTTCCCTGACTACAGCAGGATCAAACATCTATTGCTCTTGACAGAAATTTGTCTAACCCACTACTGCTCACAGTTTTTTGCAAACTTGACTCGCTTTTGGAATCAGTCTTCTTTTATGCAATAACCTCCTGATCCTTCTGCTTCTCCGCAACTCCCCTAACTTAGTGACAGGCAGTTGTAACTCCTCTTGATGAGAATTTATATTAACGGAGAACAGCCAAAAATCTCTAATTGCTGGCAGCAACTTAGTTCCATTTCTAACTACTGGCTGCAGGTTTAAAAATCCATTCCCCCACTGTGGAGAGACTGAATAGCTGCCAGAAATTAAAGGCCATTAAAGTTCCCAGCCACCATGAGCATTTTGTGATCTCCTTTTCACCTTTCCCTTCTTCAGGTACTATAGCCCAGTTTAAGAAAACTTTTAAAAAAAAATCTCTGATGCCACCAACTCCACAGTTTCTGAGGGTGGCCTATTTTTCACTGTCACAAGCAGGAGAAAGTTTTCTTCATAATATTCATCCTGAATATGCACCTATGTTGCAATTTAAATATATTATTCTTTTCCTATCAATCATGAACATGAGGAAGAGATTGCTCCCTTTTTGTACATGTCTTTTACAGCTATCTAAAGGCTGTTATTACAGCTGTAGGTAGATGAAAACCCTATCAAAATATTCAAGAAAGCTTCTTCTTTTTCATGCATAAGATAAGGACAAGGTTAACGACATACACTGTATTCTCAATTACAATACTTTTGCTTAGAAAGCCACTAAATATTTCAGAAACAACAGAAGAGTCTTCACGTCCAAGTTATTCCACTCTAGATACTAGGCTAATGAACTAACATAAGCAGCACAATTCTTAGGAGACATTCTGAGTTTTTAATACTTTTAACAGTATTTTTTTTTTCATGTAGACAGCATAACAGTAAGAAATTCTGTGTCAAATTAACAGTTTTCAGGATAACATACTACTCCTTGAGTTCAGCAATTTTGGAGTTGCATACTGACTAATCTAGCTATCATTCTTTGTATCCCCGAATTAGTATTGCGCAATATTTAATCCCTACTTAACACTTCATATCATAATTCATCAGTTTTAGATAGCACCCTCTGTTCTGCAGGATCCCAGCCTGCTTTTATAGAGATAATGGGAGTAATAGCTTCACCTACTTCACTCTCTCTTATATTGTGCATATCATCATAGCCTGTGAAAACACCGAAGATATAAAAATATCTTTTTTGGTAGATATTAAGTTTCTCTTGCCATTTTAAGGCTGGTTTTACTATCAGTCCATTTATTTTACTTATCTTACTTTTGTGAAAAGTGCCAGGATACCATTAGAGACAAATATCCAGGACAGAGTTTTTCGCTTTAAAACCATTCTTGGCCTCACACCATCCCGTTCCTGGCCAGGGGGAGCTTACTGCCAGGGCTGGAGAAAAGCATCTGGTGGTGTCTCGGTTTGGGAGATGAGGAGAGCCTGCAGCTCCTCAGGTCACTGGGGCTGCATCCAGCCTGTCCTAGGACAAGCTACAGAGGGTTTTGGAGACTTAGAAGGCAAAAACCAGACTCCAGTGTGTAGCACATGCAGTAGTAATATTAAAGAATTAGTTGTCACCTTGATCCATTTCAATCCACAAAAATCATACTACAGATGCTTATAAAAGACAGGGGAAGCGCCGCAAGACAGCACAGTCTTACCACCTGCCCTTCACTGTCCTACTGTTTCAAAGGGCAAGACTGGAAACATTCCACCCCAGCAGACAATAATCTGGATGTAGATCATGATCAGCTTTTGCATACGTGTTCATATGAGAAGAATTCATCTGAATACTCAACAGAATGAACTACTGAAACAGAAAAAGTTTTGAATGATTTGCAACTTCACTGAACCAAAACCCATCAGAGTGCCTCTGTAAGAGCAACACGTGAACCTGTATATGATCAACACCTCAATATAGTCTGAAGACAACTGTGGAAAATACAAAAGTAATTAAATAGTGGAGCTTTCTGAAGATTATGCAAGATAGATATCTGTTGCAGACAGAGGCAATGAAAGATGTAAAAATTAAAGTTTTGCCTGTGTGCTATGCTCGAGGGAATTTGAACTAGCTTTTTCCTGCCATTAAGACTGCCACGGTATAAAAGATGAAGCCTTTGAGATACAAGAATTGCTGCTTCCTGAAGTGCCAGTAATGCTTTGGGTGGCAAAATATATGGTTTTTAAGTAGGTGTTTTGAGATACACAACTTGGTAGGTAAGAGACTGAATGCATTTGGAGTTTTCAAGCAGAGAATTACTGGATTATTCTGAGACTTTATGAGGAGCAAAAAAAAAAATCTTATTTCAAGGTCACTTTAAAATCCAGCCCATCTCAGCAGTGACTAGAAGTTGTGGAAGCAGTCAATCTCAGCCAGTTAGTGAAATTAGCTACCAGGACCTGCCCAGATTGCCTGTAGTAGAAAATTGCTTATATCAGAAGTACACAGGTAATTGGCATACTAGTTGACAGCTTCAGCAAATAGGATAAGTAGTGAAGAGATGTGCTGAACTACCTCGTCAGCACCAAAGGTGTCTGTTACCTTCTTCCAGTTGCAGTAAAGGTGTGCTGCTGGTGAGAAAGCAGAGCTCTTTACATTGCAGTTGCCTTGCTGCGTACATTTTTGAAAATACACTCGTAGTATTTCAGTCACTGACGCTAACTATGGGGCCCTAACATTTGCCAAGACCGTTTTTCTACCAAATCCTGTTTGCTTTACTTTAATAACGGTGATGGTACTTCCAAGCCAACTCTCCTGCTGCCTGTAGCTCGCTCAGCCGCTCCACTCCGATGGAGGTGAACACCTACACGGCCAAACGGTGCTAAAGGCATAATCAGGGCTCCATCTCTTCTGACCCCTTCAGATCATGACATGCGTTTTTCCACAAATGACCTTAACAGAATGATATACAATAATTTTATCATCTATATGCTATTTGGGAGACAGACTGGTGCTAGTGTATAGTCATGTCTTTTTAAGCAGTGGAATTTAACAGGAATACAGAGCAGCTTGCGCGTTGCTACAGGAGATATTAAGAATTCCCCCTCTGGTTTTAGATCAGCTTAAATATGCAAGCTCTTTTCTCCCCCTCATGTTCCCTTTTGCAGAAAAAAAATAAAAAAATCAAAGTGACTTTATAATTCAGAATCCCTTGAGGATTTGAAAAAAAAGTCTATATACAAATATTTTTATCCCAAATATAGTAGAACCATATATTCTGAAAACCAAATGTTGGGAAATTCTGAGCAAGAGTCTGTGCACAATCGCAGTGGGTCCACAAGCCACTTTGGATCAAGGAGCTGATTTAGGTAGGGCTCACAGATAAGGTAACTCCTTTAACTTTCTGAAGATGGATGCTCAAAACCTGAGGTGCCTCAAAATAAGAATTTTCATTAAAAAATGGGACCTGACTATGGTTTGTGTGGCAAGATGGACGCGTGCTCAGAGATCGCGTTTCTGTTAACTAATTGTCATTTTATCACCAATTGTCACAGCAAGCCATTGAGTATACTTCAGCTTTGGGTAACGCAAGCTGAAGATCAATATCCCAGAAACTGCTCTTTAGAAGCTTTTAGGCCTATCAGTAACATTGAAAAGTGAATTTCCTTTAAAAATTCTTACTGGCAATGTTTATAATAAGTATAGAGCATTTCCACATGTGAAAAAAGATTGGGTTTAAAAGCACCAACACTGGAGAATAACCCTTAATAAAAACACTGAGTAGAAAATACCTGTTAAGCAGAGACTTGCAAAGCAGAAAAGTTGGTGTATGAAAAACCAAGAACCCTCCTGCATCTTTTTGCACTACATGTTATGTTTTTACAGCATCTATTTGGATTTTTGGATACAAACACTTTTCTGCACTCAGTAAGGCTGGCAGATACCATTTACAAGTCTTTGCTTCAAGGAGGCCATCCTACAGATACCACGCACCCCAGAACTTTTTATCACGTTACATACTAAATTCAGTAACTACACAGTGGATCAGCAACCCTGTCTTGGGAAACTCACTGATTTCTGGCCTCCAGATTATGAGGATTAAAATGAAAGAATAAGATTATTTTGTATTAAATCTAGTGAGACTCAACGTAAAGTGGATTTTGAAAAATATTCTAAAAAGCCAAAGATTTCTTAGAATTTTGACTTTACTACAGTGGCAATGAAACTAAGTTTCACGAATTGAAGCAAACTATAGGAATTCATGAAAAAAGCTTGAAATCTGAGCTTTTTTAAAAAAATAAAGTTATTTACTGCTTTCCCACAAGAAATCCATCTTCTCAGTGTAATAACTCAGAAAAAGCCACGAAAGCCTTTGCTAGCTTTTGCCATGGCCTTGAGGGCACCCCCAGCCCTGACTGTCCCTGCCTGGACCCCCAGGGTTCCCCCCTAGGTCCCAGGACCCCCCGTTCCCCCCCCAGGGCCGTCGGCCCCTGCGCCAGCGATGCCGCAGCCCTGCCCGACCGCGGCTCCGCTGCCCCAGGGCGGTACCGAGGACCAGGGCTGGGGGTGCCCCCGGGCACTCTGCTCTTGGCTGGGGCTGTCGTATGGGTACAGGCTGGGAGTAGGCAACGATTCGGGTTTATATCTGACCGAGAGTTTCTATGCAGAACCTTGACACCTCTGCTGTCCAGTTCACAAGTTTGGTTTGGGCCAGATGCATCACCCTGTTTTGCAATCCCCTATTTTGCAGTGTGTGTCTAGAGCCATTTTCAGATTAGTAATTATTGTTTGTGGACTGTCTCTGACAGACTACAGATAATTTCTGAATATCATGTGGTCAAGAAGAAACTGTTTTATAAAAAGACTTACCAGATATATTTAGGAAAATGTGTTTAAGGCTCTACCATGAACTATGGTACTTAAATGCAGAATTTAGCTCTGATGCAGTAGAAATGACTTTTAAGTCTTCTATAATAGCAGTATATTCACATAAAAGTAAATAATGAGATGGTAAGTCTTTATCTTCAGTTGCAGTCCAAGAGATTCAGTAGGGTAAAAGAAAAAAAAGAAAAAAGCTTTAGAGCAAAATGTTTGTTTTAAGTAACTAAATTAAAAAAAAAAAAAAAAAATCTCTGCTATTGAATGATCACTCTTGGCAGTGTAGCAAACAGAAAGATATACCAGCTAGCTAAAGTTCCACATGGCACCTCCTGAATAGGGAAATGCTCAGGAAACTCACGTTAGCAGGAAAAAAAAAATGTGGTCTTTAAAAGCATCATTAGCCGCCTTTAATTTTCATCAATGCTAACAACAACCAGGAATAAAAATAACAACAACTATTCAGAGCAAACACCCCAGAAAAAATATTTAGGCATGTTTATCCTAATCATTCGATATTCACAACAGACTGCAGGTGACAAGACGCTCTCCTGGACAAGTCTTTGCAAACTGGCTGTTGTGACTGCTTGTACAGTCATAGGAATCCTTTTGTCTTCCCAGAAGAAAAGGTAGCTGAAGGACATAGAGATTAACTTCCCAACAGCAACTGTGTCTGGTCTGGATAAAGAAAAAAAACCACTTTCTCCAAGGCTGTAAAAGCTGCATCCTTCTCAAATGGCTCAGAAATAATCTATAAATCAAAATATTCATTCTTAAAAGACTCTTTCTTTAATGCTACTTAGTTTTGAAATTATATTCAAATTGCTAAAACAATTTGGGAGCCTACTTCTATTCAGTTTATATCCATTAATCACTTGCAAATACTTGTTTTACTTAGGGTAGGATTCACCTACATTTACACATCCACAGTGCAGATGTTTGTGTCTAAGCTGTGGTAGTGATTCAGGTTAGCTTATCTCCCTGAACTCCATCTGCAGGTAACAGAGGCAAATAGCCACTTCCAAGTTGCAGGTCATCTAATCTACATTAGACACCTACTTTAAAATGAGACAAACTGGGCTGTAGACATGCTAGTTACAGTCTGTTGACTGCAAAGAGAGCTTAGACAATGAATTCAGATCTTGATACCTTCATCGCAAACCCCTACGTTCAAGCCAGATGAATGTCTTCTTTACGGCCACAGAAAAATGACATACTTTCTTTTAAAAGAAACTGAGGGTTTTATCTAGAAGTTTAACATTTGAGGTTATAAGCAAACCTGTGCCCCGTTGATTGAAAATTTGGGGTTATTCAGCACAGGGATGTAATCAGAAAGTATGATATTGAAATATGACACAGTACCAGGGGAAGTTGAGATACAGTCATTTTTAAAAAGAAGCTGCTTTGGACAAACACTGTTAATAAATCTAATCTTGACATCTATTTGTTTTAAACAAATAATCTATTTTTATTCTCCTCAGCCATGTGCTTGAAATGGAGAAGATAACTGTTTCTTGTATTCCAATACGGTCTCTTCCCAACTTGAATTTGTTTATCCTTGTTTATCTATCTTGTCTATTTAGCCTCTGAAAGACTACAGTGCCTTTTCAGCCTCTCCAGGCCATGTTCCAGCTGCCCCCAGGCCTATATCTGGGCTGTGCAGAGAAGAGGGGAGAAAGCAAAACCTCATGTAAGATTTCCTGATGGCAAAAGCTTTTTAAGTTACAAAAACCACGGCTCATCCTAAACCTACAGCTTAAATGAGGTGATTCAATTTCAAATTATTACCCATAATGATGATATTGCCCACGTCGTCATACTAACCTAAGAGTTTTCCTTCCACTTCCAAACTAATACCACCAACAACCTGATCCTACCACTGTATAGTTCCTTATTCATATGGCGAAAATCAGGCAGTGTGCAGGGTTTTACACTTTCTTATACATCCTTTATCATTCAAGAATGTAAATTGCTGTTTCTCACTTTAGAAAATTGCTACATGAAACACCCAGTTTAAAATAAAACTGGAAAAGAGGGAAACCAGGAAGGCCAACCTGATTCTTGGCCTGCAGAAGCGTTTTCAATTTATTGTGGAAAATTCCCACTGAAATTCCAGATTCTTTTGGATTCCAGAGTTCTGTCCGTTTTGGGTAGGGGGGGTGTCTTCCACTGTTGTTAACAAGAGCAGTATTTTTTCTAGCACAAGTCTTGAGATCATTCTGCAGTTGGATTTAAGAAGGGTGGACCAATGAATTCGTCATCCACAGCACATTACATGTGAAAAGAGATGGTTTCATGCAGTATCTAAGATATGCAGACCTTCAGTTGTTGTGACAAGCTCATCACCTCCGCTCCCAAAAATTACCAGCTGCAGAAATGTGAATATACCCCAACACTTTGGAACACCTAGAACTTCAAATCCAGTCTTAGATCCCAGACTGCAGCATTTGCATGACATTATTAGTTCACACAGCCATTCAAGAGTATAAGGAATGGATTAAAGTAACAGGAATCTTAATACTTCTGATTACTTCTGCATAGGAAACATATACTGCTGTAACTCTTCGGCACATAATAATTCAAATCTTACTATGACTTCTCTGACAGTAAAAGATTTCTTACTGGCCTTCAATAACCCATTGAACTTTCTCAGAGATTTTAGTAATACATACTCATCATTCAGTTCATCATTTTGTATGTTCCTTCAGTTACAACTTCAATGCATCTCAAATGATTCTTCTACCATAAACCCAATTTTGCATCCAAGGAATAACTTACTTTCTTGTATTGCATTAAGAATTTCTGAAAAGTCCACATCTGTCTTCTGTATGTCTGGTTTTATCCATATTTGTGTTTCCAGCCGGTTAACCTGCAAATCCTCTCTTCCTTCTGAAGAAATTGAAGAGATTGATGGGGTTTGTGACAGTGCAGTAGAAAATCCAGCCAAGGGGCTTTCAGGTGAGGGAACATACACATTGAATAAAGCTACTTAATCTTTTTCCCCCTAGCAGAACCAATTCTTCTTCAAAAAAAGCTGCTTTCCCAAGCAGCTTTAGATAGAATATGGACTGATTTAAAGCTAAATAGAATAAAACAACAACATTCTCTGCTATCAGCAACGATGCAGAGTCACCACTGGCAAGTCCCTCGTTCAGGTGAGCACATGCCACCATGCCATGAGCACCCCCTCACCATACCATCTACGAAAGGAATGCCAAAACGTGAAGACAGACAAGAGGTATTGTTACAAATGACACAGCACTACAGGAACAACCAGGCTAAAATAAAACACACTAACACGCAAAGGATGAATTAAGTCTCAAGACAGAAAACAACCATTAAGACAAAAAGAGCACGGACAGCATGTTTCAGCCGCAGGACACCGTAAGTTCTCACGTGCCAAGCTGATGGCATGCCATGGTCTAGGAAGCACGCCAGTACTGCAGTCCTTTTCAAAGGGGGTCCCTCTGGTACGTAATGGTTGCTATTTAAAAGCACTGCAGAATAAAAGCACAGGCCAGCAGGTCACAGTTTCAAACCTATTTACACATGTAAATAGGTACACGATTTGCCCATTTCAGTGTTCTTTCAACATGAGCAAATTACGTGGGAAGTTTTGGAAACAGACCCTTCCCATGCGGAGAAAGGTAGCTGCACATCACGAGCAGACAGGAGAAGGTACTGGGCAAACGGGCTTAAGCTGCTGGCTACAGGGTACTTGGATACAGCCAGAGAAAAAGAGGGAGCTACTGGGCACGTGGCTGGTTTTTGGAGTGGCAGCAAAACCTTTCACAAAGGCATCTGTTAGAGGTGATGCTCTTGAATAACTAATACACAGTTAGCAGAGAGCTGCAGCGGTCAGGGAGATATCTGGGAAAGGACTTCACAACAAAAAGGCCGTGGTGGAAGAAGAAACCTTCAGGTCATTTAGTCCATTACTGTACCTTCACCAGAGGCTATCACTCGTGCTTTTGATGGATGCATTTTCCTTTCTTCTACAGTCTGTCTGTAACAAGCTGGTCTTGTTTTGAATTCCCTCCTAGCCCACTGTATCTTCCCCCCTCCCTCACCAAATGACTATCTCACCACTGCCTTAATGAGAGCCACAAATGATATTCCTGGGCACAAAATTACTCAATGCTTCAAACAAGACCCTTCACTTTTTGGAAATACAGATCTCAAAATGGGTATACATACACCAGCTTCAACCTTTTTTTATTTCCCAGTCTTAAAATATTATAAATTCAAACCATCTCATGCTTGCCCCAGTACGTTCTTTTGTTCCACAGCAAAGACCCACTGTTAACATCAGAGACAGCTCCCCTTGTAGATTCCTGTAAAGGGATCTGTCATAGCAGCAGCAGGAGTCAACATTTAATGATGTAGAGCAAAGAGAATTTCTTAAGTGAGACAGCTGATTATTCATATAATAGCAGCCTAGGGAAATCTGCAGATGGCCTCAGAGGTAGGAGGCTAGGATTTGCCCCAGAAGAGAATTCTGCGGACCAAGGAAAAACACTGCAGCTGCTAGAAAAGGCGCATAAACAATAGGATGGAGATAGAGAAGTAAGCAATGGACAGCAATTCGGTTAAACAGCTTTGCAAGTGCTATCATTCAGGTTCTCATTAAATACTCAGCTACCACTTTTAACATACATAATTACATATTTACATCCTCAAATCCACGAGCTTTTCTTCTCCATTTCAACCCTAGTTAGAGCAAAATAACGACAATACTGACAAATACAAAATACCCCCTCTTCCCCCCAACCCTCCATCCTTGTTAGACCCAAATCCCTGCTCCTGAAAACACATGCAGGTTGCAGGATCCCTGCAGCATCTCCAACAGATCTGAATTAATTGGGCCAGGGAGAAAGGAAACGAGAACCAGCCAGCAATTTTGCTCCCAAAGCACTGATATCTGATGCACTATCTAACCACAGTCCTGTTAATAAAATGAAGCTGTTGGAGAATGTACATATTCAATTTCAAAGCCACTTTTGAAGTAATAAAAAATAGCGTCTAGAAAGTGGTCAGAAAACATCCAGCATAAACGTGACTGCTGTTCAGCCTATGAAGCCAAGACAACTTTTGCTGCATTCAAATCTCCTCTCCTGTATTTGACTCATTTGCAGTATGGGCAGCTTCCAGCAATCCACACAAATGACAGTCTTATACGCTTCTCTGATTCACAGTAGCCTTAATATCTGGCCTCACTGCACAAGTATCAGAGCAACAACACCATCCAGTCTGATTTCACTCAAAATTGTAGGCATAATCTTCTACCAATCATTTGTGACATAATACATGGCTAATCACAAACTTGCCTTCACCGACACAAGGAGAAGAAGAAACATATTTGCCAACAACATAGCTTTTAAATAAGTGGTTGCAGGAACATTTTCTTCTTCCATGATCGTCATGGTGCCACTAAACAGACTTGAATCCGGACACATTTCCTTCTCCTCTCGTCCCTCTCCCTCAGCACCCGCTTTGCAGGAGGGAACACTGCATTTCTTTAGCTGAGAGAAACAACCCCTACATGATGGGTCGTGGACCGGCCAAATTAATCATTGCTGATTTGTTGGCAGACAGAGGTTTTAGCCTCTCAGCTCTTTGGAAAAAGCCACAGTGTTCTCTCCCACGTCCCAAAGAGATTTATTTTCTTTATCTTACCACAGATCTGCAAGACCACAAACCAAGATAGTTATCTGGTGTCACTGCTGCTATTGAGGGATCACTAGCCCGGCTTCAGCATTTCCTTCTTGCTTTAGCAGCTGCTGATTTATGCTTTATCAGTGACATCTCCCACTGAGTAAACCCTAAGCAGTATTGCCTGGGAGGCTGGGAGGGAAAGACCCTCTTTCCATAGAAACATTAGAAATAAACAAACACAAATAAAAGTGAAAGAAATATTAGATTTATCAAATTTCATGTGATTTTATTAAAAGATCAGCCTGAGATTTTTCTCAACTGAGACATTTTAGTTCAACTGAAGTCATATTTTAAATTAGCTCATGACATTCACTCTGATTTACTCATTGTTGCATAAAGTAGTGCATAAAAAAAGCATACTTTTTCCGTTATTTGTTTTGAAGGATCTCTACTAATTAGGTTAGGAAAATGAACGAGATTTTTAAAAAGGCATTTCATTTTTAAAGGCTGAATGAGATGGCTTGTTGTAAACCGGAATTTTAACATACTTCTAAATATTAAAATGATCACATGTATGAGAGAAGCAAATAATGTAGCAAGGAAGTTAATATGGTACTAATGTTAAACAAGGTTATTCCCACTGCAGTGAGAGAGATTTTGTGCCTGCTTAAAATTAAGGACATACTCAGGTTCCTTGCTGGATGAGGCCTTGTTACATGCATCTAGTATCCAGCCAATTATCGCAATCAGCTTTTTAGACATGAGCTTTACAAGCAAAAGTCTATTTTTCTTGCACACTAAACACCTGGAGCCAGATTTGGAAAGCCTGCACATTTTTATATATGCTCTGTAATGTGCAAATCATATTTGTAGACAGATACCCTCACGTTGTGGTCTGAAATTGAGCATGAGCACTCGGGTGTACAGAAAAATGCGCATAGCTTCAGTATTTGGCACCAAAATAAAGACTATAAAATTAAGCTGATGAAACAAGTGCTGCTGTTTCTCGATGCACTGTAAAGGGCTCATATTTACTCCATATTTTTGAACAGACATGTGAGAACAGAGCTCATCTTTGTAATTCATTGAGGCAGCCAGCGCTTCTTGAAGAGTTTTACCACTTAGATTCTGTTCATTGGTTGGAACAGAAATACTTGACTCAGTTGCTTTCTGAAATCACAGTCTCTTTTCTTTGCCCTCCCTCATTTCCAATTAACTCAGCAAGTAAAAACAAATGTTTTGCCCACAGTTCTAGAAGTTTCTGTTGAGAAAAATTTACAGCTTCAAAGGCTTTTTCCGAAAAGGCAGCTAGCCAGTGACTTCTATCAGTACGGTGAGCTGATTTCTTATTTTTTTTTAAAATCACTTTGGCAGGAAACATGTACTTTCACAATGCTTGTACTTCAGCATGGACACTAAATACGAGTAGCAAATAACTAGTATGCCATGTGGGTAGATGCTCCTATCACAGGAGCTTCTACCTCTAACAGGGTAATATATTATCAAGAGCAAATATAATTCTAATATGAGCAGTTTTGTTTTGCTACATTAAGTACGGCCTGTAGTTTCCACAGAGAAGTTGCTCCTTCCCACCAGAGCCTCTTCTTGAAAGCAAGCAGAAAGCTACTGTGCCTGGTGCATTTTTCACTAAAGGCAAACCCAGGTCACCACAGGGTAAAGGGTCACCCAAATGTACCTGCAGGTCCATTTTCTACTGGCTTCTCACTGTGAATGCAAGGCAGGTCATCTACAGCAAAGCACAGTTTCAGATGGAAATTGTTTAAAGTGTCACCTATACATGTTATTCAGGGCTATACACACATGTGAAATCCATAGCTTTACTGAGCTCAGTTCTGGCATTTCTCATTTCTGTGACAGCAGTGGAACAAAACGTACACCATAGTGGGTCTTCCCAGCATCCATCGCATGACTGCACTAGACAACACATCTTAATGGATAAAAACATAGTGGTTCAACTATTGCACAAGAAAAAAAGCTGTTCCCCAAGTCATAGAATATATGCAAATATACATTAACATACATGTCTTCCTAGGAAGACAAAGTTGGCCTGAAAGCAGTGGCTCAGAGATAGCTAATTATATACCTTCAGGTAGAAGGCTGATGTGTCTCACAAGTCTTGTAAAGAGATCTGCTTTTGCTACACTGATTGGAAAGAATCTAGGATTGTTTTCCAGAAGAAATCTATATCACAATCTGTTTTGTCCTTGCCAACCAGTAAAGTACTGTAATATTCTTTCTGCCTAAGCATTTTTCTCTTCTGCAGCATAAACTGGATGCCAGAGTGTTGTTCTGTGCATCAGTCTTACTGCAGTGATTATATTAGATACATTTTCATATATTAAAATTATTTAATTTCTTGTTGCTGCTCTTAAAACTGTCATGTACAACAGTGCAGAGTTCCACACTGGGAAGGTACTGTTGATAGGACAAAATATCACATAGCAATTAAAAAGAAGAAACAGAGGAATAAAGAAATAGAGTTGTAGGAGAAGGACATACTAGGTATGTTTAAAAACTTGTTGTTAGTAGCCACATTTTTAAAACAGAATCAATTTTAATTTATGGGTCTGTAATTATGAAGGTCCAAAATTTAATATCAGCAGGATCATTTGATTTCATCCTGGTCAGCTTCATATTAAACATAAAACTGTTTCCTCTTGACTAACTCTAGTGTAGATATTGCCTTCCTCAATGGAAATAAAAAAGAGGAGACAGAGGAGGATGTTTCAGAGTTTCCTTACAAACCTTTTGTCCAGGTGGAAGGGTTTGTCCTCTCCAGGTACAGCTAAGAGTCCTGAAAGTACAGGCTGAGTCCACATAGAAATGAGTTTTGCATCACGAAGGATAACTCTGTCTTTCAGTGCTTGTTCTCCTCTTGAACAGATATGAAAGGATGCAATATCAGCATTTTTCAAGATATATTTTTCCCCTCCCCACAGGGATTTAAGAACAAGAATCTTGGAAATGTCAAAATGTCCTTCGGGAGATCAGGTTAGCAGTGATGATCTGCAAGCCACCAGCCGCAGGGCAGTAACGCTGGCGAGTCAGGCTGACCTTCCTCCTGTGGTCCTCGCTCCCCAGTAACTCTACTGGTGCACTGGGACCTCACTCCCAGCTGAGCCACCGCACACCGGCGAGGTGGCTGCACGTGCACCCGTACAAGAGGGCAGTTCCCTCAAACCTGCAAGGTTCCCCATCAAAAGCCTCCCTTAAGTCAGGGCAAAGGCTGCGTGTCTTCTTTCACGAGTATCTTCGCAGCACATGATGCAGAAACACACCCTGTGTCCTGCCTCGAGCTGCCCCTTTCTCCAAACAGAAGAAAAAGGCTCCGTTTTCAACCTGCAACTCTTTGGCCCACCAGCCCAGCACTCGACTCTTTTCTGAAATAAGACCATTACACAGAAGCTTTCCTTCTGTCCTTGCTCCTTACCAGTAGTGCTAAGCTTTCTCTACCTTACGGCTTCAACGCCGTTTCAGATTTTTACAAGGGGGGGTGTGGTGACGAGTTCCCTTTTTCTTTCGTTTTGATGCTTGTTTCCAGCCTTGGGTTCCTTTTGAAGGTGGCAGTGGGGATAAGGACAGGAGAAGTCATGTGTTTAATTCTGTTTCTGAGAATTTGTTGACATATCTGTATATTTAAGATAGTGCAACGCATCAGACCAGCTGTCTGCCACATCTCCAGTAATTTCTGTATAGTGTGGCAATGCTGGCACATATGTACCTGTAGTGACAAACTGGGAGTATCTTAAAGACCCCAATTTTCCCTAATTTGAGGTACTTACTTTTACCTGTGTAGGTCACAGGATTTGCCCCCATCTATCTACAAAGCACATACACAGTTTTGGAAGAATCATAAATAATAGGTAATGATACATGTGGAAAGAGAAGCCTTTAGAGACTTCTGATTTAAGTCAAAGCACTCCATCATAACAGCATTAATACACAATATGCTTCCAAGACTAAAAAATTGGGTACCCTGTGGAAGTATTTGCAGACCTTTGAAAAACCTCTGACCCGGTAGATTGCCATATATGTCTATAAATACATAAAGACTTGGATATAACTCTCAATACTCTTAATTAGTTTACCAGTTACCTTAAAAACGTGTATACTCTGTCACTATTCAGCATAGCTAATCAAATCTGCCACTATGCAGAAAACACCATTTATCTTAATGGTTTTCTCACTGATTATGGATAAAATAATGTGTCTGCATGTTTGTGTCCAAGAATCAAAAGCTGAGTGTAAAAGCACAAAAATGCCTTGTTAGTTTTGAGAGTTATTGGAATAAATACATAGGGCTACTTCTTTTTCCACAAGGAAGTCCAATGAATGTTAGGGAGAAAAAAAAAAAAAGATAAATTCAAAACCCAAATCATTCTGTTTAGCATGAAGGAACTATGCCATAGCTGTCTCTGTGCATGGTCATGTCAAGGGTACGGTAATAACAATGCTGGAATTACTTTTGAAAGGCAACTTAAAAATAGTTTCCCTTTGTATTGCAATACACTGTAAGGCATGACATATGTTTAATTATGTTAATACAAACTCTTTTCTTATCTTCCAGAAGCAGCAGCAGTGAAGGGGAGATTTCTAAACACCTAATATTACTAACATCACAAACTAAGGCATTTGGAAGACATATGGTGTCCATTCTCCCCTCCATTAAACCCTGGCTGGCATCAGACACAGAGAAGTCCACTCAGCCAGTTAAATACAGAGAAGTGGGGAGTCCTACATTCAGCAC